GTTATCCAATTTGATTATAAAATATAAAAATAGAGAGTTCTAACTATATAATTTTTGGTACCCAGGTTTTTATATAGTTAGTAAAGAGTTTTTATAGAATATAGACTTCTTGAGCGATCTAAAAAGCAAAATGAATACTTTGTACCCAGGGTACCGAAAAAGTGACACCAGAACTCCCTTTTATGACCTACTGCTTATTGTACTTGAAAATTACAGATTAGGAGTCTGTATAAATGTTAATAGAAGAATTATGTTGAAGAGTAGAAATAGCAAAAAGGATAGCAAGAAGCTTAACTTTATATGACAAGGGCCAGTTAGAAATTTGAGCAGAGAAATTGTAAATAACAAAGTTATTGTAGACTTGGGCCTATCCAATACCCATAGTACATTCCTCAGTACCAAGGTTTTTGACACAGCCATCTGAATAGAAAATGAACTTTTGATAAGGTTGATTAGCTAAAGCAATTTGGAGTAGATTATTGGAGGCAATATTGTTATAAAAAAGGGATGAAGTAAGAGAGTCTACAATATTAATAGAAGGTAAAAATGGAATCTCAAGTGGGTTTTTAAAAGTAGTGGAATGAATAAGATCAATATAGTTGGTGTTAAGTTTAAGTTAATTATTAGATTTTCTACCAAAGAATTGGGTAGAAATAATTGAAGAAACTTCAAGTATACAATGATTAGAAATATGAAAAGAGTTTAAACTACAGCCTTGACAAGGCTTACAGATAATAGGAGGAAGAGGATAACAAGTAGAAAGAGAAGAATTAATATCTGCCAGTAAGTAATAGAAATTGAGTTGGATTAATGGAAGACTTTGTGAACTTAACCAATGATAATATCGTTATTATAGCAGGCAAGAACCCAGGGTTTATGAGATTTGTTAATTGAATTAGTTTAATAGACAAATAAGTTAAGTCCAGAAGGTTGAAAAAAGGAAATAATAAAATGAAAAAAGGAATATAAAAAGATAGTATTTTCTAGGTAGAGGAACCAGGTAGGCTTTTTCCCTTTGGGAATATAAAGTAATCTGGGGGAGAGATGAGACCAATCAAGTAGTATGCTATTGTCAGCAGAGTATAATTGTTCAAGAAAGAGAATATTTTTGTGGTAAAGTTGCTGTTTAAAAGTATGGTATTTGGAATGATGAGAAAGAATATTTTCAAATAAAGAGCTACCACCAGATGTGATTTGTGGCCAAGATATATTAGAACTGGAATGAATAGATATACTAAGAGAGTTAAAGAGTTGTATAATTTTAAATGTAGTAGTATGTCTATTGAAACTATCTATTAGAGGATTAGGATATTGAGAATATTGGTAGTAGACCAAAGATTATTTTGAAGTTGTTAAAGTCTAATACATGTAGTTAGGCCAAAAGTCGATGTATTGTTAATATGGTAGAGAAAGTTACTAATATGATGTTGGAGTTGTATATTCCATAGACTATGGATATTGTAAAGATTGTGGTTAGACATAGTACTATTAGAGATAAAACAGAAAAAGTAAGATTTTTGTTTAGCGATAGTTAAATATTTTTTCTAAATAAGGTTGCAGATAAAGAAAAGAATGACAATATTTTGGATATGATATTTAGTAGTAGGAATAATAACAATATTAATTATATAGGTGATTTGTTTATCGATAATAGTTTTAGTATTAGTGATATTAGCTAACTGTAGAGCTTTATCTTGAATGAGTTGAATTTGTTGTGTGTGTGCTTATTATTAATAATAAACCAGCAGCCCAAGAACTTGAATCACTAATGAATTGGAATAGATGAAAGATGAAAATTAAGAAAGAAAACAGATGCAGATGGATGTTTAGATATCAGAATAGATTTAGAAGAATTGACTTAAATATTGGCCATATTATAAAATGAGATTGCAGTATTGATAATTTTGTCAAGTTCTTCTTTTGATTGAGTAATTCAAATAGTATCATCTATATAGGCGAGGACTGATACAGAAGTATAATAGTGTTTGATGAATGGGTGAGTAAGACTTGGTTGCCAAGATATAGAAAGTGTGTAGCTAGAAAAGTGTAAAGAGATATATGAGATTAGAGGGTCATAGTAAATTTACCAAAAGAGAGGAGTAATAGTTTCACCTTGGTTGATACCATTTTTAACTAAATAAAAATTAGTAAGACCAAGGTTGGTAATAACATGGTTAGTTCAGTTAAAAAGAATATTAGAGAGAATATTAATAAGCTGTACGGGCATTTGAAGTCTATGAAGGGATTTTTGAAAAAGTTCAAAGTTAACAGAGTTATAAGCTTTACTCATATCCTGTGAGAGAAGCCAAAGTTGATTAGATTAACAGTTAGCATTTTCAATAGTATTATTCAAAATATGATGTAGAATTGCCAGGAAGAGCAACATAGTTAAAAGGAGAAAGAATGTTGTGTAAAGACAGGGTATTGTTAAGGCAGTTAGTAAGGAGTTTGGTATATAGTTTTCTAATGTGTTCAACTAAGCTAATGGGTCTAGTGTTTGATAAATTGCCATCAAAGATAGTTTTTTAGAAATGGGAAAGATATGGTTCTCTTTCCATTGTTTAGGTATAGTTTGAAGAGAAAGGCAGTAGTTAAAGAGTGAAATAATAGCTAAAGTAAAAGAAGGACCAGCATGTTTGATCATTTCATAACTAATACCAGAAGGGCCACATGCTTTGTTGTTAGAAAGTTGGCTAATAGTAGAGATAATTTCCTCTTGAGTAAAATTTGAAAGAATACTAGTATACCAATATTTGATTTGGGGTTATATTCGGTTTGCCAATAAGATTCAAAGATACTATGGTTAATTTCATGGTGAGCAGTCCAGTTATCAAAGTGTTGTTGAATATGTGATTTAATAGTTGGAGGGTCAGTAAGGAATTTTAATTGTAATATATTTAATTTCAAGAAAATAAATATAATTTGGTAAAATTATGAAAACTTTGATTATATTGTATTATTATTAGTTAGGAGAGTATTGGAGAAAATGCGCATTTTATAATAACATGCACATTAATGGTATTAATGTGCATGTTATATAAAATATGCATGATAGAATTTTTGGAACTTATATTTTCCCTTTGAGATATAGAAATTTTTACTGCTCCCTGGCCTAAATTATATAATATTTAGATGGGATAAAATGCGCATAATTCTGAAATATGCATGATTAAGGAATCATGCACATGCATAAAACCCAATTCTAGTTAGGAGTGTGATTATGAATATAAGAATAAATATCAATAGAGCTTGGACATGTGAATTATGCAATTAATTTAATAAATTTAAATAATTATATTGTAATATGGGTGATAACATACTGAAAATGTGTAAATCATTAAGAATCTTAATGATATAAAAGAAAATAGATCATTAAGATTCTTAATGATCTAAAAAAAAATAAATCATTAAGATTCTTAAAAATAGATCGTTAAGAATCTTAACGATCTTTTAGACTATTATGAATCTTAATGATCTAAAAGAAAATAGACCGTTAAGAATCTTAACGATCTATTTTCTTTTAGATCGTTAAGATTCTTAACGATCTATTTTCTTTTAGATCATTAAGATTCTTAACGATCTATTTTCATTTAGATTATAAAGATTCTTAATGTTCTAAGATACAGCCAGTCTTAAATTGATCAATCAAATACAAGTTGTTTCTAGAAAATTTAGTTTATTCGCTTAAGTTTTGTTTGTATTATCGTAAAGAAGAAATTTTGCATTCATCCGAACTGACACACCTCATCTGGGCAATGAAATTATGCCGTTTAATCGATATAGAAGGTAATTATTACGTAATGCTATATGACAATAAATCGAAAATAATCATACAACGATGATAATATACTAGTACTCGAATATGATACATGAAAATCTAATTCTTATTAAGGATCTACTAACCATGGTACTCAAGTTACTATCTTATATTATTGGCTGAATCGGCCAATAAATTTTTTTGGCCATTGGCCGGCCAAGTGGCCAAGTGACAACACTGGTTATCAGTGTCTTTAACAAAAAATTGTTTCGAAAAAAAAAATTTATAAGGGTTCTGTTATGATCACAAATTTTATTTTAACATCAAAGATTAACAGGATTTTATTATGAAATTTATTTAAAAACAAAAGATATTGTTTGTGAAAAAAAAGGTTGACTCTTATAATTAAACTTATTCTTATGATATAAAATGCATATAAAAATCTATGAACATGTAATAAAGATTTTTTATTCAATCCCAAATTGGCAATTGTCATAAAGATGGAATGGCTGTTGGAAAGGATACCATAAGCATTTATGTATTATCACAAGAGTGCAGAAATAGAAAATGCTAGAAAGAATAATTTTAGATGTTGCTATGATGTAGGAATAGGAATTTTAGGAAAAGCAGTAGTAAGAATATGAATACTGGTAGCGAAGCCAGCAGCCTCAATAGTACAATGGGCAATACAAAGGTCGCTTTTGCATGCAGCATCGGCAAGACAAGAAACTCCATTTTCTCGTGTATCAGAAGTTTGAGATGTATGTCCATCTGGATCTGCAATACGACAAATTTTAGTTTGACATTGGTCATCAGCAGTACAATTTGCTCCCTGTTCCATGTCTCTTCTCTTAGGATCGATTCTGACTGCACTGGTGAGGATGAGAAAGAGCATTCCAAAAAGCATAATCGAGAAAATCTTTTTTTTTTTGGAATTTGGGCATTTTTTGTTTAAGTGTACTATGTATAAGTTTTTGATGATAAAGTAAAAAGACTTTTGTTCGAGAATTTTTTTTGACGATATAGTAAACAACGTTCTTGTTTTATTTAATTACGAATTTATTGCTATTGATGAGGTGTGTACAATTTATGAGAGTGAGTTGATTACTACCGTATTTTTATATCTTCCAACAATCATGACATCTAAAATCTATCTGACGACGAAAAATAAGATCAATATCTGAAAATTAATCATCCCAAAATCATGAAACAGATGATTTAGGGCAATTTCACCGACAGATAAATTATAAGTACCGTATCCTATCGTGAATAAGCACCCACATTGAACATAGTAGCGGGTGCTTATTCACGATAGGATCAGCGCTATCTAAAATTTTATCAAAATTTTATCTCACATGATATTCCGCGAATCAAACTATGGTAATAAATACAATGAAGTCACGGGAGTGCTTATTAATGATTGACAATTTTTGTTAAATGGGGGTGCTTATTCGCGATGGGTGCTTATTTACGATAGGATACGGTAATATAGATATTGATATGTTTTAAGTCAAAATCCTGACATAGTTAAACAAAGTTAGTTTAATATTGACCAGTTTTCTCAGGATTTAACTCTGTCGGGATTCTAATTGTCAGGATTTTGACTACAAATGGTAAATTCAAGTTTAAGATGGTTCCCGTTTACTCTTTTTTTTGACAAGATCTACCATTACAATTTAGTAAAAAAGTTACTGGTGTATACTCCATTGATATATACTGTAATCAGCAGATATTCGTTATATGAGTGCCCGAACGACCCTCAAATAACTGGGAGTTTACCTCTTATTCCCGCCGTTGCGAGAAAAATAAACAGTACTTATTAACTTTTAATTTGATTTCTTATTTCATTGATTTAGTTGGTGATGATCATAATAACGGGGTGTTTCTTTATATTTATATTAAATTAGTCAGTAAGCATAGTCTAAAACATGGCAAAAAATTTTTTCTGCTCCTTAAGTTATTCTATCTCGGTAAGATTATAAATTATCTGCTATTTCTCATTAAGTTATTAATTTAACTGGAAAGTATTAATACAGTCACGCCCTCAGTTCCAAGAAATTCTGTACTTATAAGAAATTATGCCTGTATAGAGGTTAAATTTCTTATGTTGTATATAAGTTCTAAAAATTGGGTGTATGGGAAGTGACTGTAATTTGTTAATCATTTTCGAAAACAATATATAAGTTTTATTGGTTTATTTATTGCCCGTGCTGCTTGGTCGTTAAACAATCTATTATTCAAGTCGATTCAATTATCATGGATATTAGCCAATCGATAGTGGTCAGATTATTATTTGATTGATATCTAATGATGAGAAATCGGCTGTTTTTCTAAAAATCTTGCGCAGGATTGTTTTTTTTGTATTTCGGAATCTTGTGGAAATGGGGGCATATTTCGGAACTCGGTCAGATTTATGACACTGCCCGATTTATATAATATATCCCGCGCGATGCCCATCACTACTTATATCGTACATCGATATTTGCAAACAGTAATAGAGTTGTTGCTGATTTGATTGGTAAAAAAAGTGGGACACTTCAAGAACACGGAACCCAGTGATCATCACATCACATGCAACGACGTCATTTGTTTACTAACACTAAAAAATTAGCCTAAACTAACCTATCACCTAACCCTAACACTAACCCTAACTACCCTAACTTAGGCCGAATACTTAATCATGTGATGTGATGACCACGAAAATATCACTGGGTTCCGTGTTCTTGAAACTACCCGCCTTTTTGTGCATATTTAACTTAGATGCTACAATCAATTCGTAATTTTAGAGCAAGTCTGCCTTAAACTTTTTAGAAGTGTTAGTTAGGATATATAGGTTTCTTATATAGTTATCGACAAAGTTATCGATATAGTCCTTAGTTCGATAGATCCAGATTCGGTCTCATGGAAGGATGATATCTCGCGAGATCATGACACCTGCGTATGCATATAAATACTAGTTCTCCACCCCAATGTTGGAGTAAGCGTTATATGCCTTTGATCTCTACTTAATAAAGAGAATTCTCATGACTTGCACCTATCCATAAATTATTGCCCGTATACCCTTTGCCATGAATACTTAATTATCAAGAATCCTGGGATTTATCACGATTCCAAGTCTTTCCCACAGAAGTGTAACCATGACCAGAAACCCAACATATCTCCAGCTCACCATTGGAGCTCTCACGAAACTGATGGTGACATTGGCTAGTAACATTTGATAATTAGAATACAGTACGCTGTGAAAGGGTGAAATGTGGCTTGGAATAATTTTTTGCCGCAGTTGATCGAGGTGGGTCGGAAAATATCTAACAGATCTAACGGATCTGTCGGATATGTCGGATCCGTCAGATATGTTGGATCTATTAGATACGTTATATCTATTATATCCGTTAGATACGTTATATCTAGCATATATGTTAGATATGTTAGATATGTTATATATGTTAGATAGATTTTATACAGTCAGACCTCCCTAAATGCACGTCGTCGGGACCAGCTCTAGAGCGTGCATTTAGGGAGGGTTGCAATTAGAGAACACTAATAAAATTATAATGTTACTATTATCATGTGATAAATAGCCTAGAAATGATGAATTTTATTGGCTAATAATCACGTGGTTGCATTTATGGAGGGAGTTTTTATAAGTGGGCCAGACAATTAGCGTGCAATTGCAGAATAAAGAACGTGCATTTATCTATAAGTCCCATTGTGGGGCTAGTCTTCTATCGTGCATTTAAAGAGGTGTTGCATTTAAGGGGGTTGCATTTAGGAGGTCTGACTGTATGTTATATATGTTAGCGAATCAAATAATAACCAAAACATGTATATAAGGACCAAAAGTTCGCCTTGAATAAAAACATATCTTGTAATGATAAAAATATCTCACGTATTGAGTTTTTAATAAACACAAGTTACCGCATATAATTATACACATTCGTTTTCTTTAATTCCCGATAATACACTATCTTGTAACCCCGTGATTCGAATTAGAGCTTCGTGACGTAGTCTAGAGCTATATTTGGCCCTAATAACTCGGACCAAGTCTTTCCACACCCTCTTTCGTGCCTACCACTATTAGGGTCAGGTAGAGTTTAGTGATTTTAGATTGTGGATTTGGATTAGTTTAGTCTTAGTAGATATCCGTGAGGCCATATTTCGACATTAGGGGTCGATTTGGCCCCTCACAACGCGCGTACACTGTAAAAGGGTAAATCATGGCTTGGGATAATTTTTTCTGCAAATAGTAAATTAGATGCATATTTACTGGTATGTGGCACAGTTATTTCGTGCAAATTTGAACGAAGTCGTTCATACAATTTTGAACGAAGTCAATTATGCAAATTTGTACAAAGTCGATCATACAAATTCGCACCATCGTTCAAATTCGTACAATTGATATATTTTTATATAGAGGACATAGTAAAAGTAGTTTAAATAGCAAACACAGCCCTCATGTACGCAGTAGTGGTCTAAAAGTATATAAGACCGATCTTTTCGCTTCAATAAAGATAACTCAGTTAGTGTTTGCAGAACTTGAGAGTTTGTAAAACTCATTAGAGTTCGACTCATAGAGAGTCTAGTATTCTGACTTCAAAGCTTCGGTTCAATTACCCCCCCCAATAAGTCAAAATCGCATAAAGTTAGTAGTCTAAACCCGTGACCCCGAATTAGAGTCTCGTGACGTAATCCAGAGCTCTATCTGGCCATAATAACTCGGACCAAGTCTTCCACGCCTCTTTCGTAGCCTGCCATATTAGGATTTAGATAGAGTTTAGTAGTTTTAGAGTAGTGTAGAGATTAGTTTTAGTATCGATCGATATCTGTATCACACATATTTCCTGATTCCGGATCAGTTCTCACGTTTACAACACACAAAAAAATCAAAAAAAAACATCAAATTTAGCAAAATAATTTTACTAAAATGCTGTATGCTAAAATAGTTCTAAATATAAATCCGGATTCAGCTATGTACTACCTCTAACCCCAATTTATAAACAGAAATAAAGCCAACTTATTTATTCGAGGAAATAATTAAAGTTTTGATGGCGTTCTATTTCTAAACTATGGCAATTATTAAAGTTGATAATCTAACAAAGTTTATGCATCATCTCTGTACTTTGAAGGTCATATATCAGTATGTCATATACTATTAAACGCGTGCACATCAAATATCTGCATGTAAAGCACCAAAGTTGTGAGATAAGGTTATAGAATTCTAGAATTTTACATGCTGCATTTAATGTATATACATCACATGTAATGGGAAAACCAGGTTGTCTCATGAGAAATAAAATTAAAACGGAAATGATAACCGCTTAGCAATATCAAATTTCATAAGGAATGTGATATCCCACAACGAAAATATTCGTCAATCGCAATTAGTTTTGTCAATCGTCAGTTGCTTCATCAATGACCAAAGTTTTATAATTGCAAAAATCGTGCCATTACTAAGAACTGGGTCTCAATGTTCTGTAGTCCGGGTCATAAAGATTTACCGTTAGGTTTGTAGTATTATGCATCGTACATACGTCGCATCGCATTAAAGTAATACAATATAAATCCCTTTAGCCGTGTAAGTTTAGAACGAACGTTTGTGATTGTACAATAGCATTATTAAATAACATGTTTTTACGATGCACTAAGCTGGATTTTCGGTTTTTATAATCCGATTGACCCATTTTTTTCAATTTTTTTTTTTTTTTTTTTAAGTTTAGTTGCGCAGATTACTCTCTTTTTTTGTCTTTATCATATTTATCTGGTATCATATGATAGAGACTTTAATTTCCCGGAATATCTGACAGGACCAATTTTATAATCAGTAAAAAATTGATAGAAATGCATTATCTTGCATAAATTAAAAATATTTTATCTGAATATTTACATCACATCCACTATTACCCTATAAAAAATGTTTGTACAGTTATTGTGGGCATTATCCAAAAAAAAATGTTCGGCCGAACAGGGTACTGTTTTCATAAAGACGTTTGTACGAGATGAAGTTTTTGATTGAAAATTTTCGTATAAAAAAGGTATAAGCATTCATCCAATAAACATCCTTTAAATGTTCAAAACGGAGTCGATTTTCCGAACATTCTAAGAGATTTTTTTTTGTATAGGGTTATATAAATTACGTTGTTTGGGTGCCTTGCGTTTTCTGTAATTAAGTCAACATTATTCTGATAGACTTTTTATATGAAATAAATCTTATATTATTTTGATAAACCTTTTATCTGAAATGACTCACAGACTCGATGAAAAGGAGCATTCTAATGAAAGAAAATACAATCTCATCAAACTAAATAAAAATGTTACAAAATGGAGGGAACTTCGGGCTTCTTCTTTCCAACGTTTAGTTATTGCCACGGCCATATGTATATTTTCACTTGGATTTGGAGGTTATCTTTATATTTCAAATAAAGATAGTGTAGAATCAACAATGAAGATCATTTCGACATCTATTTTTGGAGTAGGAAGCATGGGAATTTTTGTCAAAAGCTTAACGTCACTTAAAAACCTTTTTACTAAAAATAAGGACGAAAATAATGAAGATGCAGAGAAATTTGAAGTTATTGTTGCAAGCTCAGGAAGAAATTGCCCTAGAAGATTAGATTCTCCTTTATTATTCGTGAAAACACTTATTGAACATATACATATCATGATGATTTGGCGTACTATATGGGTTTCTTTGATGTCATGTTCATTCATTATATTGTCTATAATTTCTATTTTTTTACTTATTTATAGTCCTAAGATATCTATATTTCACAATATGACAACCATTCTCATCGGGTTTTCTTGCTTTTGCCTACTGGAAATAATTACATTTACTATTTGTATTATATATTATATTCCCAAGTTGGAAGAAGTGGACAAATGTGACATGAATGAAGCAGATAATGAAATATACGATGATAAAGAAATGCTTGATTTGGTTAATGAGCTAATAAGACGTATGAACTATCGTAATGAAAATAAAACATTTCTAATAAGTCGTATGAACTATAGTAATGAAAATAAAATATTTCGTGGCATTTTGATAATCATGAAGCTAATGGCACATTATTTGACTAAATTGCAAGAAGAATTAGACTATAACGAAAATTTAAATGATTCTAATTATATAAAATGTATGCGCTACTTATTAATAAGTATAAATGCTTGCATTGAGACCACTTTTCATTATCGTAATATGACACTTATAAATAAGGCACTAAAAAAAATGAAATTACTTAAAACTCATTCGGATTCAAAATTTTATATATCTTATATCGGTGGGGAGAAATTTTTTAAGGAAAGTATTGATAATTATTTTGAGGGAAAGTCTAAAATAGTAAATTTGCTTAAAAAAGACAATAATACTAATAAAAAAGAAGATATAGTTATTAGTAAAGAAAAAGAAGACGAAATACAGAAAATAATGGACAATAAGATAGATGACAATATTAATCAGGGTCACATAAACGAAAAAGAAAAGGATGAAATATTACGAAAAATTTATGATACAGAAGTAGACGATACTGATTGTAATAATGTAGTGGATACTTTACTAAAAATTATAATAGGCGGCAAACTACACGACGTAAATAAAATGGTGAAAACTTTATTAGAAATCTTGAAGATTAAAAAAAATAATCTATCCAACAGTAACAAAAAATAATCCACCCGAGAATACCGAAATTAATCAATCCGAGAGTAACGAAAATAATCAATCCGAGAGTAATGAAAAAGTTTATCTAGAAGAAATGGTGATAATTTTATTGAAAATTAAAGCCAAAAATAATAATAGGGGTGGGATCAGAAGTAATAAGTGTGAGGCCGGGAATAATAATCTGCCTGATAAATTCAAGCAATTTTTATTAAAAATCAAAACTGATGCCAAGGATGATGACAATCCGATTGATAAAATGGTGGAATTTTTATTACGACTTATAAGTAAGGCAAAGAGTGATGAAAAGGATGCTATTCTGAACATTAAGAATTTAAGTTTATTATCAGACATTTTAGGTGGTCTGCTGAATTGTCAAAACAAAAAAGATGAAATCATAAAAACTTTAATAGAGTTTATTCAGAAAAACGAAAGGGGAAACATGTGTGAAGCAAAATATATTTTGCATATAATCGAGAATAATGATAAAAAAAATAAGATAATAATCGTAATGATGGAAGTTTTAACCGACATTATAAAAGAGAACATGAAAAAGAACATGAACATGGAAGAAAACATGGAAGTTGAGCTGAAAGCCGTAAAATCAATAATGGAATTTTTTTAAATATCATAAGTGAAGCCAAGTATTGTGAAGCAGATATTAATCGGGAGCACGTTAAGGACATAGCTAAAATTTTATTCGAAATTATAAGAAATAATAATTATGAAGAGATGGATTCAAATGCAAAAGAATTTATTGGTAATAAAGCTATGGAAGAGGATGAATTAGAATACGTAAAGAAAATAGGGTATATTTTATTGGAAATTATGATTGAGACTAAGATTGAAGATACACATACAAAATATCAAATATCATACGATGACATGAATGAAATGAATGTCGTGGAAGCAATAATAGGAACAATTTTATTAGAAATTACGGAAAAGATTAGTGAAGTCAAGAAACACGATGATAAGAATTACACTAATATCAATAGGGACCACACTAATAATAACAATGATAAGGATCATACTAATATTAATACTGAACTAAGTAGCCTTAGTGATTTACTTGAAGAATTAAAAACTCAAGTAATATCTATAAAGGATGATATCATAATGAAAAAGTATTTTAAAGATAAAATCGATTTATTTGGTAAAATTCGTCATAATAATAACTTCTTGGAAAAATGTTTTCTCTACTTCTTAACTGTTATTTTTTTACCTATTCTTTTTTTAACTGGTTTGATATCATTGAAAAATGGAGAGTATGCAGAATTCAAGTTTCGTATTAAGAAAATTAAAGAAAGATATCCTGGTGACTATAAGAAAGATAAATGGAAAATTATAATGGATATGTTACAACATAAATATAGGGTACAATTAAATAGAATAGAAATGAATAAGAAAGAAAAAGAGATAATCAAACGTCTTCTTTTTGGATTATCAATGGATAGCAGCAATATTGTTTAATTGAAAAATAGTTTCATATTTAGATATTATTTTTGCTTATACTTTTTTATATACACGTATCATAAATCTTGTATTCAAATTCAAATTATATTAATGTTTGTTTTTTGTTATAGTGATCAATATCTTAATAAATGACAAAGTAATTATATATATTATACTGAATTCGACATGAAAGCACATTAGCGGATCTACATTGTCTAATAAATAGAGGAACCTATCATTCATAATTCTGGTCAAATTTGCTTATTATTTGGCCAGATCTAGAACAAACAGTTTTAAATCTGGTCAAATAATCTGCCGTGTCGATCTTTATCAAAACAATCTAATTCTGGTCAAATTTACAGACCATTTGACTGTAAATTTCCAGGTCTAATGATCTGCAAACTTGACCAGAGCTAAATTGTTTTGTCAATGCAAACTCGAAATTGCAGATTATTTGGTCAGATTTAGAACAAAACAATTTAATCTGGTCATATAATCTTCAATTTTGACCAGAATTATGAATGAATTCTTCTATCACTTCGCCCGTGCCTTCATCATGGGAGTTTTAGATTAGTTTTTTTATTTGATTATACGAAGGTAGAAATTTGTTTTTATAGTATTGTGTAAAGTTTAAAGGTTATCTAATTATTTAATTTTGGGGTTTATTTTTTAAAAATTTTATAAAAAATTTAGCTAAATTGTAATCATATATATCGTTATTAAAAATGGAAAAGTATTTTTCTAGTTATAAATTCCGAACTTTTTAATACTTGATACAGTACCTATTTACATGTTATTATTAATCAATTTTAAATTGCCGTATAACATCTCTTAGTGGTTTGCACTATTCCATTCTTAGTATTTTGTTAACAGGCTTTTTTCATATAATTAACTACAGATCATCAAATATAGAAGAAAGTATTACACATGCCATGTGAAGTTACAGCGTGTGAAATCTTGATATGCATTCATATCTTTGCTTCGCCATATGCATTTGCCTAGAGATGTGCGAATGCAAGTATTTTTGGCTTTTCATCACATAATGCAACATTACGTCGCATGATGCATTATAATCTACTGTGAACCTCTCAAAACCGATATGCATGGTGAACAGACTTGTATTATTACTGAGAGGTTATCGGATTTAAAAATAGGCATTAGATCTATAAAGGTGGAAACAGACCTTGTAGATTAATTTATTATTGGATTTTACAGGCCATTGATTTTGACAGGATCAGTTTTGAGAGATTAAACAGTACTGTTGAACCTCTCAAAATCGACACATAAGATGAACAGATTTTGTATCATTATTGAGTGGTTATCAGATATAAACCATAACAAACTATTAGATTTATAGCGGAAACAGACTTTGGTAGATTAATCTTTTATTGGATTTAACAAGCTATTGATTTGATAGTCTATAAAGTGTTAGTTGATGAAATGGCATATATCAAAATTAAATAATTTCTATGTGCATTTTTAAATTATAGGCAATTTGCATCGCATTATAATGTATTACGACACATCTCTAACGGTAAGTATATTTAATTAACTGCTTAATTTGTACTAATCATGACATCATTTCAGAAACAAGCATACAGTAACGATAAGAAAGAGTGTTCATTTATGGAGAATAATCTACATATTATTAAATAATTACATTATGCTGATCAAATTATATGCACTTATCATAATAAGGAAAGTGCATGTGAAATGCACTTATAGAGTGCGCACATTTATCGCAACAAATTATGTGCTACATTAGGATGTGCGTCAATTCAGGTCGCCCTTGTGCGTTAGTTCAAAATAAGAGTAAATCCAATATAACAACCTTCAATAACTGCACGTTTTTAGGCAAAAGTGCACTAATAGAATATTCATTTATGGAGCATAATCTACATATAACGATAATATTAAATGTCGGGGATGATGCTGAAATTGGCTGATGCTGAAATTTAGGGTCCCCATTTAAATTTATAATACCTACTAAAATTCACATATACTTTTTTACTAACAACACTACCCTCAAACCCTAACCTAACTCTAATAAAAACCCTAACGAAAAGGCCCGAAAATTTTTAAAATTTCATAATAAAATAAGTCAAAATTTCAGCATCATCCCCGACATTAAATAATTACATTAGACCGATCAAATTATGTGCACTTATCATTTGTATGTGAAGTGCGTGCACATATGTAGTGCCGACTGTATATCTATCGCAACAATAAATTATACGCTACATTAGGATGCGCGTTAATTGGGTCGCTCATGAGCGCTAATTAGAGACCATATAAGTTATTTATGGAGCTTCCAATTTTCAATATAATGCCCATTTCACGCTTATATGGTAAGTATATTTAATTAACTGCTTAATTTGGAACTTGATCTAATTAAGTACTAATCAGAAACAAGCATAACGAAAAGAAATAAACGCGCTACAGTCCACAAGAATCAAAATGCAAATCTTCTTAACCCACGCACTAAAAAAAAAAAAAAGAACATATACATATCATGATGATTTGGCGTACTATATGGGTTTCCTTGATGTCATATTCATTTATCATAATGTCTATGATTTCCATTTTTTTACTTATTTATAGTCCAAAGATATCTATATTTCACAATATGACAATCATTCTCGACGGATTTTCTTGCCTTTGCCTATTGAAATAATTATATTTACTATTTGTATTATATATTATATTCCTAAGTTGGAAGAAGTGGGCAAATGTGACATTAATGAAGCAGATAATGAAATATACGATGATAAAGAAATGCTTGATTTGGTTAATGAGCTAATAAGACGTATGAACTATTGTAATGAAAATAAAATATTTCTAATAAGTCATAAGAACTATAGCAATGAAAATAAAATATTTCGTGGCATTTTGATAATCATGAAGCTAATGGCACATTATTTGACTAAATCGCAAGAAGAATTAGACTATGACGAAAATTTAAATGATTCTAATTATATAAAATGTATGCGCTGCTTATTTATAAGTATAAATGCCTGCATTGAACCCATTTTTCATTATCGTAATATGACACATAAATAAGGCACTAAAAAAATGAAATTACTTAAAACTCGTTCGGATTCGAAATTTTATATATCTTGTATCGGTAGGGACAAACTTTTTCAGGAAAGTTTTGATAATTATTTTGAGGGAAAGCCTAAAATAGTAAATGTACTTAAAAAAGACAATAATACTAATAAAAAAGAAGAGATAGTTATTAGTATAGAAAAAGAAAACGAAATACAGAAAATCATGGACAATAAGATACACTTAAACGAAAAAGTAAAAGCCGTAATATTACTAAAAATTTATGATACAGAAGAAGTAGACGATACTGATTGTAATAATGTAGTGGATACTTTACTAAAAATTATGATAGGCGGCAAACTACATGACATAAATAAAATGGTAAAAACTTTATTACAAATCTTGAAGATTAAAAAAATAATCCATCTAACAGTAACAAAATAATCCACCCGAGAGTATCGAAATTAATCAATTCGAGAGTAACGAAAATAATTAATCTAAGGTTATTGAAAAGGATAATATAAAAAAATGGAAATCGAGAACATTAATTCGTTCGAGAGTAATGAAAAAGTTTTTCTAGAAGAAATGGTGATAATTCATCGAAAATTAAAACAAAAAATAAAAATTAGAGTGGGATTAGAAGTAATAAGAGTGAGACAGGGAATAATTACCTGCCTGATAAATTCATGTAATATTTATTAAAAATCAAAACTAGTGCCAAGGGTGATGACAATCCGATTGATAAAATGGTGAGATTTTTATTACGTAAGGCAAAGAGTAATGAAAAGGATGCTATTCAGAATATTAAGAATTTAAGTTTATTATTAGACATTTAGGTGGTCTGCTAAGTTGTTAAAACAAAAAAGAGGAAATCATAAAAACTTTTAAAAAGTTTATTCAGAACAACGAAAAGGTAAACATGTGTGATGTAATATATATTTTCGTATAATCGAGAATATAATAATTATAATAAAGGTAGATCTTATTTTTGTTTAAACTTTTTTATATATACGTATCATAAAGCTTGTATTCAAAGTATATTAATGTTTGTTTTTTGTTAAATAAATATTGATTCTTTACATATGTATTTTTAAATAAGCTACATTTCAAGTCTATTGGTAGAGTTGTTAATGGAGTGCTCCATATTATAATAAAACATATAACCCACTCCAGAAATAGGTTATATATTTATTATACAGAAGTCTGGAGTATTCCATTAACAATTCTATTTATTGATCACTATGACAGAAACTGATAGAATCATTTTCACAACTTATTCAATATAACAAAAACCAAGAAATAATGTTAAATTATATAATAATTGTGAAATAGAAACAAATAATTCTAACAATACGTATAATACGCAAGAATTTAAAGGATAATAAATAGAAAAGTTTAATATTTCAGATTTTTGCTTATTTATCTTATTTTCTCATCTATGTGGGCTTATGATTTTGAAAAATTTTAGCAACATGCGTGAAATAGTTAATTATCTCAATTTCATCAATTCCAAGACCATATTTATATCTTAAAGAATCTCTATTAGTGCACTTATGAAGATATTCATTTATAATTATGACTATTTATTCTAATGAATTCAGCAGTTTAGTGAAAAAAATTAAACTTGTTAAGATAATTATTAAATCTGATTTTCAGTAAACTTAATTGTATACAAATAAATTATAAAACAAATTATTTATTAATAACAATATATAATTCAAAATCAATTCAATTATTGTGGTATGTCAAAACAATTTAATAATATTTATTAACTGCATTTTAAGTTTAGGTTTTAGGTTTAAATTTGATATTTAAAGAGTATAGGTGGATTTTTTTTTGTTTTTAAATCGAGACACAAAATTTCAACAGTATCAGCTGTAACAATAATTGATCATTGTCATTAATCACAATGAAATCTGATTAAAATAAATTTCTTTAAAGCTTCTAAAACCCACTAACTTCTTTGTTATTAATTTTAACCCATAACCCTAACCAAAACTTACTCCAAAAAAAAAAAGCGAAAATCCCTCAAAAAAATTTAAAATTTTAAGTTCCAAATTGCAACAACAGCCAATTTTAACATTAGCATGACATTTATTTACCCTGATTCTGTTTCTAACTAACACAGGTTGAATCAATGAATAACAGGTGCATATCGGAGCTACCATAGATCCGCCAAATACTGGTAGCATATTGGGAGGTAGATCGATAATAGTAACATAACAGTAACATACTGGGATATCCCGGTATCTTACTCTTAGCACTATTTGGACTAAGAATAAGATACCGGGATGTCCCGGTATGTTACTGTTATGTTACTACGTATTATCGATCTACCTCCCGATATCTAACCTATATGCTACCGATATGCTACCGATATGCTACAGTATATATGGTAGAATAATAAGTGCATATCGGGAGATTTATCTTCCGATATGTACCCGTTATTCGTGTGTAACATAGATTGCGTAGCATTTTCTAAGAGAGTATCTATACTAACTGGTAGAAAAATTACCAAATTGACATTATAATTATACAAATTTATGCATTTTAAAATTTTGGTTAGGAAATATTAAGATATTTTTTCTAGATTAGAGGCAGTTTGATTCTTTTTGCAAAATCTGTAAAACCTCTTGCAAATTCGTAAGGGAGTAGGTTCTTTTCCAACTTACGATATATATTGATCGAAATAATTGCTTTTGTATATTAACCTATTGATGTAAACAAGTTAGAAATTTAAATTTTGATATATATGTGACTTATACATATTTGTTTACATTTTTTGAACAATTGCTGTTAGTTCTGTTACAATTTTACATATTCATGTTCTTTTTAACAATTATACTCTCCTCTACTGATATATATTGTTAGAACTATTCAAATGATTTTGTGTTTTAAATCTATAATTCTTCTTTTTTGAAGACAAATGTGAAAAATAAATAAAAAATATCAATTTGTATAATCTTTGTTTAATTGCAATAGTTATATTTTCTTCAAAAGCATGGAAAATGATTTTTATTGTCGCATTGTTACAGCAATCTTTTATCAAACACTCAATTAGATACACATCTTTTTTGAGATTTATGAATATAAGGTTCTATTTCACATGATATTTATTTTTGCCACTTATGCATCATATATTCCTTTAGTTGTTATAGCATTTAATGTACACGCTCCTCACGATAATATATTGTTGAGTCACACTTACAAATCCCATTTAATTATGCCCAATAATCACATGCATATAAAAGTGAACATTTGCATTTTCCTTTATACGTGGCAAAGTACTTTCAGATTGAAATAATTCTATCAGGATGATTGAATTTCAATTCACAATCATGATAGCAGTTGTGATTGGTTAGACAATCATAACTTGCATCATCGTATCAACTAGTTTTGAGACACAATAATCCACATTTATTACAGCTAATATGACAAATAAAATTGAGCCGGCTAATTTCACGTTCAAAAGCAGAGTTGATAATTTTAACTTCATTATTTTCTTTAAAAAGTTCTTTTCAACCATTCATTTGCCCTTTTTATTTTGCGACTAACAATAAATTTACAATCATAACAAACTTTTTCTCAAAAAATACAAATCTACTAATAAGTAAAAATTATATAAATACATTTTAGTGTATGTTATTTGTAATAATAATGCTTTGGTGAATCATTTTTCATGATAACTTTCCCGATCTCTATTATTGACCAATACTAAACACTAAGAATGCTCAAACTAATAATAATTTTAATTAATCTAAGTACTCATTGTTAAATGGATTGGAATTGGGTAGAAATTACATGGTTATTATGTAATAAATGTCACAGAAATGCTAACTAAAACTTGGGGATTGATTTGAAAATATAATGATAAACACCATTATAATCTTTTATTAACAATTCTAAATTCCAGCCCTAAAAAAAAAAGCAAAAATTTTAAACCTTCATGTTATAATAAAATATACCCAAATTTCAGCGTCAGAAATTTATCTGGATGACCCGGGTAGGGATTTTTTAGATGTCAAATCTTGATGTTTTTCGCTTCTTTTTCTTCTTTTTTTTTGCATGAGAAATGCCTTCTTTATAATGGCAAGATTTTCTTATGGATTTTGGTATATAGTAACTATACCCATAATTCCATATTACATATAGATATCTATTATTTAAAAACAGGTGAATTGGTGATGGGATGACCTTTTTAAATGCAATAGGTCGCACAATTAAAACTCCATAGATATTTGGCGCAAATATGAGACCTTTAGAATACAAATTTGGTTCATATAGGCGTTCATTACATATTGGACTCTATTGGTACATCGATAAAGATAAAACAAGCTTTATCGAGGCTATCGGCATTCTGATATGTAATGAACACCTATATGTACCCAATTTGTATTCTAAAGATATTTTATTTATGCAAAATATCCGTTTTAAATCAGGTTCATATCGGGATTACGTGATATCAATTGGAGCCCTATCTACCTTCATTCGACTTGTGTTAGTTAAAATGAAATCAGTATATATATTCATTAAGATTAGTTAAAATAAAAATTATATATAGTAATAGTTGAGTATACTATAAATAATGATCATATTACAATCGCATATCAATATTATACTATATTTTAATTTATTGCTACTGTATCAAAAAGTAGCACACGAACGTGATTTGATAATTGTTTGGATGCACCCCAGCACAACTAGAGCTGGATATTAACTTTATTAGATTGCTTAAAAGAGATGTGCTATATATATCAGTGCAATTGATGTATGAATGAACTAGTGACATGCAGCGTCAGCTGGTTGTATCCCGCGGGCCGGCTGTCGACGTGAGATTTTGTGGATAAACTAGCGATGTATAGCATTGGCCGGTGGTTTCTCATCTGCATAATGCAGGAGGCTGGCTGTGATTACAAAGGATTCATTGGGCGGGTAGGGAGGGTGCGAATATGACTAGCTTAGTGTTGGTGTTAGAATTATTGAATTACGGCATTACAGCATTCTACCATATGGTAGAATTGATTATGACATAGAGCCTAATTGCCATAAATATTATGTGCCATAATGCCACAATGCCGTAATACCGCAATATCATAACTCTATAGTGTAATAATGCGATACCATAATATCATACTATACTAGCAGTTAGGCACGTCCAAATGTCGTACTTATCGGAATTGCAACCAAAATTCATCAGATCGACCAAAATTTCGATCAGAATGGATCTGGATTGATAAATTTTGTTAGTAATCCACGTGCTAAGTAAATTGCCCAGATGCTAAGTTTGCTTGTTATTATAAATATACATGTTTACAAAATCCAAATTCTAAACTCCATCGGGAGAATTAAATAAGTGCAAATCTGCAAAAACCTGCGAAAATGCAGATTTTTGCAGAATTTTTTGCAAAATTTCCTATATTTTGAAATTTTGCGCAGAACTGTATTTAATTTCTACAGCTATAGCTGGTGAGTCTGAAGTTTTGCACAGATTTTCATTTAATATATTATTTAATTTTTTTGCAAATCTGCGCAGAACAGCACTAAAAACTTTTTTCCGATGTCTGGCCAAGCTCATATCTTAAAAATCTTATTAATAATCTTTATTCAATTAATAACAATTCAGATATGTATTTATAGCTATATACAGTGTTGTCACATAGGTATTTGGCCGGCCAGTGGCCACGGCCAATGGCCGCGGCCAACGGCCAAATTTTTGAAAAATTTTTTTTGGCCGAAATGGCCAAAAGTTTATATAATAAAAGCTAGTAATATGATTGGCTAATATTACAAAATTAGAAATTTTTGACCAAAGTTTGGCCATTGGCTGGTTGGCCAGTTGGCCGGCCCAAAAAAATTGGTTGGCCGCAAAAATTGCCAACACTGGCTATATATAATATATCTGCCAAATTTTAAGATTACTTTTTTGATTTAATTTTTTATAAATAGAATTGTATTTTTGGAGTTTCGGATTTGGGGATCCTCCTGTAAAAAACATGTTAAAATTACTGCTTTATTTCTGCCTACTCCGATACATTCTGACCCTAAATTTTGCCGATCTGACGAATTTTGGTTATGTGACTGATCATACCATATTACGAGTGATGCTAAGGGAAAATGGGATGTCAATCATATGAATGTACAATAGTATGAGAATTGCTAATTTGGAAATAAAATGAATTAAAAAAAGTAATACAATGAGATAAAAAAAAAGATAGGCTAAATGTATAAACCCAAAATGTATAGAAAACATTTGAGCACTGTCAAGAGAAAATCAAACTTCGAACTTTCATGTTTATAATTAATTTATCAAATTCGATTTTGGCTAAATCCCGAATAACATAACACTGACTAAATCGAAGCCAATGCCGGCTAACTTTGTCGGTATTATGTTTTTTCGGGATCTGTTTTCGGGATTTGGACCCAAATTCATCAAATTCAACTCATAAAAAATCTGATCAGGGATATATTACATGTCATAGATGCTACGATCAGTTATTAAAGGCCAAATCCGGTAAATAATAAAATATCTTATTTATGATAGTTCAACAATCGGAAAACCAATATTATTATTTATTTGATTTTTTATTTAATAATATAAATTCTATTAACATACGTATTATGCCATATTTAAATTATTATTAAGATACTAATTTGAAATTTAAATTGCATTATTTTAAATGTGCATGTAAACCTATTCAAATACTAAGAGAGCTTCTGCAAAAATTTTGTACACGTATCTAAGCTTTCACAAAATTTTGTTATCACCTTTTAAGCACCAATTAAATCAACAGGCAAGTAAATTGACTTGAAGAAATCTTCTTTGCTAAGTCAAAAGCTTACCATTTTGCGATAGGATTTTTGAAATCTGTGCTAAGCTATGTTGTTATCTAAACCTAATAACCAAATTAGTACGATAAATGGTGTAAAATACCTATTTTAAAACTATATATTCACGTACCATGCTAATATATTAAACCTAATACAGTAATATTTGACACCGAATCAGCATTGTACAAATTTTAAAATAAAGTATTTTATACCCCATACTGTACGAATATGGTCGCCCACGCCATACAGATCTGTGTAGTTACAATACCATAATTCGTCAATTGGCCGTTCTTTTTTAGGTGTTATAATGTGAACGAAATCGACAAACCTAAAAAAAGATTAACAGATGAACCTAAAATTAGTCAATCTGATCTATTAAGTGGCAGGACAATGAAACCTTTATTAATTAAAGGAACACTTATATTATTATTTCTGTATGTTTTACCATTTTGAAAATATTAAAAAAGAAAGTAATAAGATTTCCATTGCTACTCATTATTAGAATAAAATAAAAAACAATTTTTTAGTTTCGATGACCGATTATCACTATAAATTAGACACGTACATACTTTAAGTATTTTATTAATTAGCTGTAATAACATAAATAACATAGGATAACATTCCTCTAGTGTTTATTGTTTAAAAGTAATCTTTAGATTTAAGATAGCGCACAGTAAATTTACTGGTTTTGTGAATAGATAATCATTGATCATAGTGAAAAGATCTTAAAATTTTTTTTTCTTTACTGTTCGGTCAAGGTTATTTCTTATATTTGGGAATAAAGTTTGTTTTCGGATTATCCTAAAATAAAAAAAATTGTTTTTGGATGCTCTAAATTCTCAAATTATCCCAAATTATCCTAATTTGTTCTATATTTTTACTATTGCGAAAGAAATTAACGTTTGACGTAAATGCCCAAGCTGTAGATCTACAAGTTATTATATTCATGATTAAATTGTTAACAGTAAAGAATACTATGTTATATTTCAGTCATGGGTTATGATGGAATAATTATGGTTGGCTATTAATTTAAAGAAATCGGTGTTGAAATAATGGACACAAAGCATCAGAATATTATTGAAAATCCGATAGTAATTTAATTTTAAACTTTAACAAAGATAATAATTCCAACACAAGAAATTAATAAATAAGTATTCGATGTATTAAATTATGATACTGTTTTAGAATCAAATCTAGGTGGTAATGTGTGAAGAACCAAGTATTGTATTTTGGGGATATATTATATTAAAATTTATAAATAAATTAATATACGAGTTATATTTCCGGATCTTATATAATAAACAGTTGATAGGGATAGTGAGTAATACCCGAACCTTAATCATGGGCATTATTTTTGGGAATACTGTAAACAGTGGCCAAAGATAACCAAAGAATCATCCATTTCCATTGATCACCTCCCCATGGTCTACCTATTTTTGCAGATTCAAATGTTTGCTGTAACATCAATATATGATTTCTCAGATAAGTATTTCATTCAAACCCTAAAGATAATTTTACATATTTGTTGTGAAAAAATAATTCCTGATCGCCTATGAAAGTGATTATTTACTTAATTTTGAATTCATTATATATCAACACAAGAATAAATGACTTGTTCTGAATGAAGAAGTAAAATACAATATCGAAGTTAAATATTGTATAATTTTATTGTAAGGATTCACTTTAAATTTTTAATAATACATAGCGATATTTAAGTAAAAAATTTGGGTGATTATGTTAATAACTGCTATGCCAATAAGGAGATAAGTCATATGCTTGTTGTACCGGTTGAATTCTCTATTCCAGATACATGGTTTTATTTAGGAGTTATTCTAAATTATTTGTCTAAAAATCCTAAAATCCTTGACTAGGAGGCTTGAAAAAGCTATTGCTAATATTTGTATCGTGTGTATGTGGCTTTATTTATTAGCGCTTTATAATTTTGGTTTGTCATATTTTATTGTGACGCAGTATATTTTTATTTATGCGATTGCTTTATATAAACTGTTTATTATATTTATTATGGTGTATTGAAATTTTTACACTTGCCATTTTTTCTAATTAGATATTCATATTCATATTAAAATTCATATCATATTAATATTAATATTCATTTCATTTCAATGTATATGCTAGAAAAAAAAAAAAATTAACGATTGTGAAATTACTATTAATTTTATAGTAAAAATATTTATTTTTTCTATTATTACGAGCATTTCCATGTGCGTTTTCTATTTTTATTTCTAATTTTTGTCACCTTTTCTTTTTTTTCTTGTCAGATTTTTTACTGGTTTGATGAATAGATAATCAGTGATCGTCAAAGCTCGTAGCGAAAAATTCTTAATTTTTTTTCATTTGCCAAGGTTGTTTCTTGTGGCTGGGATGCTTGAAAAAGTTGTTGCAAATATTTATATCCCATATATGTGGCTTTATTTATTAGTTCTTAGCAAATGATTTTTGATCTTCAATTCAATTTAATTTTCGTGTGGCCAAATCTAAGCAAACACAAACATGTGATTTGTATTATACAATGAGGCTGAAAGAAATAGTTGATTTTTATTTTCTGAATCCTGCTCTAAAAGCCTCATTTTATCTTACACAAAATAAATATTTAACTCATGAGACAAATCTTATAGCCAGCATGTAGCAGTTTTATTATCGTGTAAACCTTGTACATATTTTTAAATGCATCAATTTGCTACCTTTTGTTAGTTCCACACCTTTTTACAGTTGTCACTTTTCGGAATTTATCACTTTTCATTAGTTCATCGCCTTTCATCTGTTGTCATTTCGTCTTTTAGGTTTAATTGATAATAGGAGAAACTGGTTGTTATAAATTATTTTATAGTAGGTAAAAAAAAAAAAAATCGTCATGGTAGTATAAATCAATTGATAAATCAAGTATCTGTAAGATGTTATGGCCGCGAAAGCGGCCCCAAATATCTTACACCTACTGTTCTTAATATTATTTGAATCGTCTCATTAAGATAATTCAAATGATATTAAAAGTATAGGTTTTGGATTGCCTGTTTTAAAGATATTTTTATTAAAAGTAAATTTACAAAAAGTACAACTTGTAGGTTTTCCCTTGGCAGCACTTATGTTTCTGCAGATTTTTAGAACATAAACTTAGGCTGTTCTCATGCATCTAAATCAATTGATCAGATAATAATCGTGATGACGCTCAAGCACCACATTTGATGATGATACTTATAGAAATAAATGCTTGTGCATACTTTATCTGTTTTTCGTAATGTTCGTTTACTACCTAAAAAACCTAATGAAAAAATTTCTTTACAATCAATAGTTAAAGTTTTAACTTTAGTTAATATTCAACACCAGGTTCAAGACGCCAGTAATAATCATAATTATTCATCAATTCATGATTATGGAAAAATCCGGAATAAAATCTAATTAAAACATAATTATAAGCTAAAAGTGAACTTAGTGTTTCTGGCGAAACAGTTACCGGATTCGAAATTCTAAATTAGTTGTGAAAGATACTGATACAATTACTATAATGCTTACCTGCACATATGATGATAAGTCAATTCGTTACCACGTGGAACCTGACTATTTCTAATCTTTTCATTAGCAAGCTCTTTATCTATAAAATCTGGTATACTCCAATGTTCTTTCGGAACCAATCCTGGGGTGGATAATAAAAATATTTCAAAGTTCTTTATTTATGAATATTTTTAACGATTGATTGGTGTTTTTAAATTAATGAAGCAAAATAAAGCATCACACTATGAACTATATTTAAAATCACAAATAACCGTGAAAAAACAGTTGATAACATAATTTTTTTGATAATACTTACCATACTCAACTTTTGCTTTCGTCATAGCCTTTGTGAAATTTTTAAATTCTTCCGTAAAAGGCTCATCGTTTAAAAATACATAGGGATAATTATATTTACGATTAAACCTGTCTTCAAGATCTCTCATCGTACTTCTAATCCCACCTATATCAAAATTTAGAATCAAAACCACGAAACACGCATTCGCCTTGCCTATTTGTCCAATTTCTATATTTTCTTGTAAATCAAATTTTGTTGAATATGTTTTTAACATAGTATAAAATAATACACATAATGCCAGAGCTATCAGGGTCCGAAATGTATATTTGAGATTAATTGTTACCATTTTTAAAGATATTGAATTTAAATTATCGTTTTTATGAATAAGTAGCTGTGCGACATTGTCGCGCTAAACCAGGAACGGGCGAATATTAGCTTCATTAAAAAAATGTTGGACAACTCCAATACAGAATAGTTATATGAGTTATAGTTTTGAATTTAGCTAAATAAATATCGGGACACTTCAAGAACATCACAAGTGAAATTATGCAATGACATCATTTGTTTACTAACATTAAAAAATTAGCCTAAATTATCCTATCACCTAACCTTAACACTAACCCTAACTTAGGCTGAACGTTTAATCGTGATATGATCACGTAAATATCACTGGGTACCTTGTTAATGTTATTGTAATTCGTGTTACCTGCTAATCATTTGAGTGCTGGCAAGGGAAAACCTGGAATTGCTAGTTTTCCGAAATTTAATTCTCAAAAACAGATAAGATTTTGATATTTCTCTAAAAGCAGAATTTCTGAAATTAAGAATTCTAGGTTTTCTCCTGGCAGCTTTTGTTACTTTTTTGGCTCGAATTAGCGCACTATATTTAGTAATGAAGTAATTTCAACCTAAGGATTAAGATTAATATATACAGCATTACAGTTTTTAACTCATTACTGCAATAGCATTATAATATTTAAATACAACAGCATTATGGTATTTCAATATAACGGCATTGCGGCATTACGGCATTACGGCACGAAGTAATTACGGCAAATAATACGGCACATGCCGTAACCGTATTAATTTGCCAAATTAATTCTACCACCAACACTACTCTAGACTATGTATTATCAAGACTATTTATATTGGATTAATTCAAAAGTTTTTATTGACATGCTTATGATCTTACTACTGATTATTTTAATATATAAATTGATTCTAGAATAGGAGGGGGTTAATTAAATTAATTAAATATCTAAAATCCTTAGTCGGGCAACCTATTTACAAATATTACATTCCATAGTACGCAGACTCATATATGATTTTTTCTCGAATTCATTTGAAAATTCCATAGTTTTCCACTTGTGATATTTTAAATATGCTGTTTCATTTTTAGCCAAATATTTCAAGTAATTTGCAAGAGCTTCGACGTCTGGAAAGTCTTCAATTAAAATAGCTGACTTAGGATGTGGCAAATATGAACGAACATTAGGTGCACCCATATAACAGGTACGACACCTAATTTAAATACATCCCAAAGTTTTCAGTAGAATAGTCTTTTTCTTGACAATTTTCAATTGACAAATAAAAAGGATATTTAGAAATTGCACAATTTTTAGCTTCAAATTTTTCTAAATACAAACATTCAGGATAAAGATACCAGGGGGTATTAGAATAGGCTAAACCAAAAGACGCAACAGACATTGAGCTTGAAGAGATGGAATAAAAGTCCTTCTGTATTCAGTCATACGAGTAGCAATAAATGAGATGAGTGTTGAATTTGGGGAAGCCTTGTTAAGTTAAAAGGTTGTATTGTTCGCCATATTTCAGGATCAACTCGAACGTAACTTGTTGGTAAATCCGAATCTTCATCGAACGACGAATAAATATCAAATAATTCATAATTCATATGGAAATCTGGTTCATGAGTCTTAGGCACTAAAGTAAACTTTATGATTTTTTTCCCTTTCCATTCTTTCCCTTTCCATTCTTTCTCACTTGGTTGAGAATTAACATTAAATAGGGCATCAACAGTTTGAAGTTCTGTAGGAGATAAGCTACCTGGATCTCCTTGCTTCCAGATACATGGTATATCGCAATCGGCTAAGGTTCCATCAGACTTATATTCAAATCTTAGGAAGTCTTCCTTGACATACCAGCTTCCAAAGTTATATATATTTTCACTTTCTTATTATTATTTAGATAGTTTGTTAAGTAATGTCTTTGTTTCCATTCTAGTAGGTTTAACCTTAAGCCTATCAATTAATAATGCAGTATGATTTATTTTAATCAAGCTATTAATCGACATTTTTGTAGTAGTTTTCATGATTATTAACGATAAGAGGGCAACAAAGAGAAGTGTAATTATAGTGTATATAAGGTATATTTTAATTCGTGGCAGTTTCATCATGTTCGTCTATAATATGAATATATAATAAGAATTGCCGTAGTTACGTAATATGTGCATAAAACCGAATACGTTTACACAATTAAATTTTATAACTTCAAATTTAAAAAGAAATTACAAAAACGTATAAAACACGACCAAAATATATAAATTATTAACTCTGATTAATCAATTTCTGACTTACTAGTCATGTTTAATTTAGCAAATATATAGACTTTTTTAATCAAATTTGATCTGCGATCGCGTGGTGGTAATTAAGCGTTTTTATTATTTAATTTTATTTCTGTTCGGAATAGAACGAATCTGATTGGTCTAGGCAACACATGATGATCGTAACGTATTGTTGCAGATCTATTGGCTAATATATATTTTTCACATAATTCAAATCATTAAAAGGCAATTAAAAATTAAACTAAAAGAAAATATTTATATTACTGATTAAATATCTTCAAATAAGAATAAAATTATAATAAGTAAATGCGCGACATTGTCGCGGCTAAACCAGGAACGAATGAATATAAGCCTGATTTAGAAATATTGGATAACCCCGATACAAAATAGTTATATCTAATATCATACTTAGTGGTGCTGCTCACTTCACTGATAGTCATTTCACCGAAAGTTCATCACATAAGTTTAGGTTTGGCATTTGATTAGTTGTGTGATGCCGACTAAATGAGCTGTCGGCGAAATGACTATGGTGAAGTAAGTCGGATCCAATATTTAGATGCATAAAAAATATCTTTAAGTTCAGTATATCTATATTGATGTGAGAGGCTATAATGACATTACGGTAGGGTGTGCAACGGCCTATAGGCAGAGTCACTAATGATCATCACTAATTGCGGATTTTTTATTGGAATCAATATTATCTTATTAAAAGCAAATTTTAGATTTATTGGAATAAATAATTAACTAAATAGAATACTATTTTTTTTTTTTAAATTGAATCTCAAGACTAGCTCTACACTGAAATAGAGCTATTTTTTAATATTTTTATAAAAAATTTTAGAACACTAATGATTAGTTTTCTTGGTTCAATTATTAATATTTTACTTTTTTTAAAAAAAAAAAGATTGAAATAATAGCTCTATTTCAGTGTAAAGCTAGTTTAGAACTTCAATTTTTTAAAAAAATTGCATGCTGCTTGATTAATTATTTATTTCAATAAATGTAATTTTATTTCGGTAAAATTTATAGCGATAATCATATTAATGTGAGGTTCGATTTACAATACGTATTAATTATATTAGGTCATACAAGCTTAATAAATTGGTTTCCATTACTTTAAAATCCCGAAAGCAATTTTTAATACTAACGGATTTTATTTTCTGGATTTTGCGCATCTGAATTTTAAGTATCAGGATTCTGAGGCAAAACCAAAAATTACCATTTGAAAATCCGTAATTAGTGATGATCATTACTAACCCTGACTATATGATTTTAATAGGCCGTTGAACACCCTAACATGGCGCTTTTTTTTTGGAATTGGGCCTAAATTAAGAACCCAAATTACTATTGTATTATTAACAATGATTACGTATCAAACACATGACACATATACTAAAATGATCCCAAATCGAATAAAACTAATATAGTTATCACGTCAAACCCATCCCCTTCTGTAAAATTTTTATTCAATAATATAGCACTATCTTTTTTAAAAAAAAAAATTTTCTCGCTAAAAATTAAAATCAATTATTCAGAATTAATATTTTCAGTTTCAGCAAATTTTATCTCTGCCTTCGATGTTTTAAAAAGGTTTTAAAACAATAAAAAATGTTTAAAAAACTGTTTAAAACGTTTTTCTACCATCCCTATCATCCTAATTCCCCGTGACATAACGTAATCGAATATTGAAGCACCGATCGCCGCATTATCGTGATTTCGTTACACGTGACCCCGAAAAAAGCGATACATTCTAAATCGAAGATATAAAGGTATTAGTGTTAGAATCCTCGATACAACAGAAGCAGCTTAGAAGTAAAAAGATAAAGAAGACATAACTTGACCCGGAAGTGTCACTATAAGACCCAAAAGACCTTGAACCTCGGACAAATCTTTCCACGCCTTTATTCGAAGCCTTCCAATTCAAGGTTTAGGTGTCTTGAAGCAAGAGAATAGATTGTTTTAGCTGTGTAATTTAGTGGTTGAGTTAGTCTTTGCCGTAGGACTACTAGTAACCACCTTTTCAACGCCCATGAACGCTAATTTGAGAACATATAAGTTATCCTTGAAAGACCCAATTTTCAAAATAACGCCCACGAGTGTTATTTCGCGCTTATACGGTAAAGGAACCTTGTCATGTAAATTAAAATAACAATTTTGCTATAAGCTCTAACCCTAACCCTAATTTTGACTATGAAGGAAATAGAAATTTCCGTGGGTTCCTGCATTAAGTACTAGTATGAACTAAAATTATATTCGAATATTTAGTAAAAAAAGTATTGCTATTTTTAACCGGTGGTGATTTCCCCGGGGTGCTATATCTCACAAACGCACTAAGTAAACGGGATCAAGTAAAAATGTCCAGGGCCTCTGAAAACCTAAAATTGGGACCTTATCTTTAATCTACATTATATTATATAAAACCCTCCTTTATCCCAAAATTACACCCTAGCCCTAAAAATCTTAGGCTGGTGAATTTCACCACCGGTGAAATATAGTTACTTTCTTAGTAAAATTGTGTGATTGTTTAATAAATGTTTCATTTCTAATCTTTTAATTTGTTGATCAACAATAAAAAGAAGTTCACTTTAGACATATTGATGTACGTGCATAACATATACATTTTCTTCAGGTCTTATAAATAGTCTCTTGTATATTTTGTGATTAATTGAAATTACATGCTATTTATTTACGTATCTGATCAATAAGTTATCAGTTACGATTATGTCATTCTTTACAACATTAATAATATATTCTGTTTATACAATATGGGCACTAAGTTTTATTATGATCTCATCATTCGCTATAATAACCTTAAATATTAACATAGAAAATTCAAAAATAATACAGGTAGTTGAACCAAATATCACAGAAAAACTTATAAATGAGCTTAAAATTAAACCTACAAACCTTTTAGAATGGAAACGAAGGCATTACATAACAGGCTATTTAAATAAAAATCAGAAAGTAAAAATATATATAATATCAGGACAATGGTATGGTCGAATGGATGTACATCACCTCAAATATAATTATGATGGAACTTTAATGAATTGTGATGTACCATGTATTTGGAATATGACTGACTTAGGCAATCTAACGCCTGAAGAGCTCAGAACGGCTGATGCTTTATTTTGTGTAGATCAACAAATACTACCAGAGAAGAAATCATGGGAAGGTCAAAAGTTTATACAATTAGCAGTCGAACCTTACATTACTTGTCCATGGTGTATTGACAATTTAGAAAGATGGGATTTTCGATCAACATATAAAGAAAATTCCGATATGCCTACAAGTCTCATTCGATCTGATCCAAATGGTTGGCGGATAAAACAACCTTTTAACGTAGAAAGTCTCAATAAAAATTCAACTTTAATTTCTTTCATTGCTTCCCACTGGACTGATTTTCGTAGAGATTGGGTTCCACAGCTTCAAGCCCACATTCCTGTTGCT